TGGTTCGGGGTGGGTCAAATTGACAGTTTGTGCTGATAAGGGGGGTATAGTAGCAGTGTTCAGAGACATGATCAGAGGAGAGTGAGGGGTCAGTAAACCAGAGAGATTCAGAGCCTCACTGCCCCTAATAAGGGTACACAATCTTCACTACTGGCCATGGTAAGCCTGAAATACATGGGGAAAATAAAGATACGCCCCTCAGGGTCCCCATGAGGGATAAGGGCTAGACATTTAAACAAGTGAATACCGTGCCCATGGCTCCCTGAGGCCGCTCATGACTTGCACAAAGTCAGCCTTTCATCCTTTCAACACGGCTCTTACACCTTAGGAATTGGACAGGGGAAGGGGAAGATAAGAAGGGAGAAGAAAAGACTGTGCAAAATTAGTTGAGGCAAGGGCTGAGGCCCAAGGTAGGGGAGATCCCCAGCATTGGGCCTCAGTCTCAGTCTCTTGAGCCTCTCCATGACAACGGGCAAGGGACTGGGGGGGGGATGAGTGTTATTAAAACAAAATGTGTTAGATGTCAATAGTCTTACATTATAAGGTAGTATGGTAGTTAAAAGATGAGAAAGAATAAGAATAAGAGGGTAGAGGAGAAGGAGCAGAAGCAGGAGAAAGGACAAAAAGAAAGGAAGAAGAGATAATAAGTTTAAAGCAAGGGAGAGATAAAATGTATATTTTCTTATCATGATAATCTGCATGATTTGGTAAAAGAAGGCAATATTATAATGTTATATTTCTTTATTCAACATCTAATCATACATTTAATACAACCTTTAAAGATGTTGTAATTTACCTCTTAGTTAACAATATCTACATACACCAGGACATCCCAAAAAGAGACATACATATAATTTTCTATATTTTTACATAAAAATCAAAAAAATGTTCACTGTCTAACATCTCAGACACAAAAACTTCAAAGAACCTTGATGCCTCAACAACATTTCAACATGGCTGGAAATTATTACAGACAGACACACTAAGCTTGAAAAAAAAAAAAAAAAGTTTTCTTCTGCACCTAATTCAACACAGTATTATGTCTTCAGGCAAAGAAGAGGGGACCCTTCACAAACCTCGCCAAGCTTTCCTGAACATATTTACAAAAATGATCACAATATACAGGAATGTTATAAATAATCTCAATTTACATGTACTGGCTTCCAACAATTATGTCATCGTAAATTTTTCGTTGATTTTCTTCTCTTCATCGGACTTAAAAAAAAAAAAAAAAAAAAAAAAAGATTGACCGGATATTCGTTCAAGGATGCTACCTTGACATGAGAAAATAATAAATTCAATATTACAAAATTCTCATAAAGTTCACATTGAATTTTCCTTAGATTTTGTGCACATGTTTGGAACATAAAGAGAGAATGGTTCAAGGAGCTGCTTGTTCGTGGAAGCTGCCTAGTTGTCAAACTTGCGGTTTGGGTTGGGCCCAAACAGCATAATTCGGATCTCAGGCAGCATCTGCTGAGCCAGCATCTCAAGCCTGGCCTCAAGTGTGTTTGAGACCTTGATCCGGTTGCCCTTGGTCAGGAGCTCCACACCTCCACAGCTGGGGAAGGATAAAAACAGAAAGCAATACTTAGATGAGATCAGAGTAAATAGTTTACCAAAACTTCAAATATTCCTTGTGTTAACTTGACCCAGGCCAAAAATGCTCAGGGTGAATGATTTTGGCAAGTTAAGCACTCCCTAAACTGTCCTTGTATGATGAACACCAATGAAACTTGCCGAGAAAGAGAGATGACTTTCTTAGTTGAGTGAGAATGTTAGAATGGCTTGAAACTGATGAAGGTAATTTCTTTATTACATACATCAATGACTAACTAAAATTGTAAGTAAAATAAAATATGCATTGGAATTTGGACAGATACCTTTAATGCTTGATTCTGGTGGCTATATAACTGGCCACAAGGCAAGGTGAACTACCTCCAAACCTTGCCCTCACCTAACGATTTGTCAGGTTAACTATTCACAATATTTTACAGTGCAATACATGGTATACCAAGTGAACACAATGATCGATTGAATCAATATTATAAAACTAATAATAAGTGTCCCAACTTTAACTACAGCTCATTGCTTACATTTCTGCTGGGAGCCAATTTGCAGTATCAATCTGGAGCTTGCAGTCTCTACCAGTTAGGCTCCTGTAAGTGGTTAATGCTTTGGCCATGGAATGCTCCACCAGGCTTTGGTCACCCCGACGACATCTCAAGATCAGACTTGGTTCCAAAAGCTGAGGTGAAAAAATAATTTTTCAGGAACATTGGAAATCGTATTAATAATGTTCAGTATAATGTACAGTGCCAATCACTGACCCTATATTCTATGTTTTTTTTTTGTTTTTTTTTTTGTTATAATGAGGCACACAAACATGTTTACATGCATATACGCACAACCCCCAAAAAACCAACACCTACACAACCCATACAAACTACATCTTAAGGCCAAATGAGCCTACCTGACAGAGACCCTGGCAGATAAGGTCCTCAAGAAGCTTTGCATATGCTCCCTGGTTCAGAGTCAGTTGGTTTAAGTTCTGTTGTGCTTCATGCAAAACATTGTTAATATGGGCCTCCTGGGCCTTCAACACCTCCAGTCGTGACTTGTTTAACAGGTTGCTTGCGCCGCTGTAAAAAGCAAAGTTTTGGGGTTAATGTTCATCCACTGAAAAAGGGGTGCATGAAGTCCTTTCATTATAAATATAGATTTAAAGAATGAAATATGTTATAAGATTTAACAGAGTTCTAACAAATGCGACATTTATATTTCATCTTCAAAGTGCAAAACTGTATCATCTATCAGAAATATGTTAACCATTCTGATCAATATTTATGGAATATTTTGCAATGCACATTTTTTAAATGTCTGAAGTGTATATATATATATATATATATATATATATAAATTAAATAAATGAATAAATAAATAAATAAATAAATTTAAATAAAAGCTCCTATTCTATAAGTGAACTATCAAAAATAAAAATCTTACCAAACTGAATATCAATAAAAATAATAATGACAAAATATCACAAATAAAAAACAATACTGTACTCACATCTTTTTCTGAAGTTCAACTTGTTTTTCTTTACGTTCATAGTATTCAATGATTTTCAAACGGTTCTGCTGAACAAGTCTACCCTTTTCAATGGTGAATTCTTCCTCAGCACGAGCATCAATTTCTTCAGCTTTTTCATTGGCCTCCTGCTCAATGAAGGCCATCATATGATGGATCTGGAAAAAAAAAAAAAAAATTGCCAATTTCATCTCTTATAATATCAATATTTGTATAAACTGACAACAGGATACAGCAGAAAATTGGAGCATAATAGCCATTTGTCATTATATGTATTAGAGTGAAATACATTTTTGTCTTTGCAAATATATATATATATATATATATATATATATATATATATATATATATATATATATATATATATATATACACATATATATATATACACATATATATATATACACATATATATATATACACATATATATATATACACATATATATATACACATATATATATACACATATATATATACACATATATATATATACACATATATATATACACATATATATATACACATATATAAATATATATACACATATACATACAAAAGAAGATTACTACAAAAGTGAAAATTAAAAAAAGAGACTTTGGAGCATTTCTGTATAAAAAGGATGACCATGAGACTTAAATTTTTTTTTGTTATTCAGTCAACAATACTTGGTAATTTTCCATAATACCTTTGTATAGCCAATAACGACACTTTAACATCAACGGATTCCGCTCACTCTCTACTATCCGTATTTATCGAAATTGTGCCGAGGAAACCCCCCATTGGCCCCAATAGCTGGGAAATTGCAGGGTAAAATATGAATAACACACTGACTCCATCACTATAATGTCAATTGTGGGGGTTGGGGGGGGGGAGTCTGAAGCATAATTCATACCTATATGTGTACTATGGGGGTGAAAGGAATACATCGATACTAAAATCGTTGCGATTGGTTAGGCAATGGTATTGTGAAAAATGACCTAATACTTGTTTTAAGACATTCTCAAATACACTTACATAATAAATTCCCCGGAGAATTTTTTTAAAAAACCTAAATCATCTGGGGACAAACGCCTTCATTGAGAAAGCATCACAACAAAAAACATGTTAAAGGGGTTTAATTCTTAGTATCTTGAATACGCATTCATTGAAGGGTCCTCTTAATATTTTGTTTTACCTGTTTCTGGACGTCTGCATCGCTGAGAGCCATTTCGACGGTGTTTTCTGGTGTCTCGGAGGGAGCGTAGTGTTAGCGTATGACAGGTCGATGTTGATGTGCAGACAACAATCATATGATGACTCCACCGTCAGATGAGAACCTTTTGGGGAAAAGTATTTATTAATACAAGTCTCTAAATCTAGTAAGATTTATTAGAATGTATTTAATATTTTTTTTATTTGTTGAGAGTGAGGAGTTTAAGATTTATAATACTTTCTTATTATTTAAAAATTCAAAGTAACAATAGTTTCTCGGATCACGAGGTTTTCGGTAGCTAATCCGATCCTCTTAAGAAAGATTGGATTCCTTTATCAAGCGGAGGTAAGTGGTATTTGATACCTTTAATATTAATGATTATCTACAATGAGAGTATTTCTGGGATTATCCAAATTCGAAATAAAATTGATAAATGAACGTAAGGAATTAATAGAGAAATGAATGATGAATACCATAGCACTAATTTTCAATGGAAAATGTATATGATATTCTCAAATTTCGAGATTACATAGTTTGTAGTTCAAAAGTTCCTACGATTTTTTATTTTTTTACGAGTACATTTATCCAAACTTTGCTTCTTTTTTTCAATATACAGTTTAGTTAAAAAGTATTAGAATGTTATCACTATGAAATACTATTTTGAAGATTCTGTCGAAAATTGTCGATGAAACGGAATATCACATGACTCGCTTACGTTCGCATCGGTACACAAACGTTGAATATTTTTTAAGGAAAAAGTCGTAGTTTAAAAGTCGTAAGTATTCCTTTTAACTGTAACTAAAATATTTGGCGTTTTACAGGTCTTTAGCATTCTTTTGCTTACGCTGCTATTCGGTGTTCAGTTTTGTATCTTCATTACACGTGTGCCCTCTAATAGGTGGTCTTTTGTTATTTGTTTCCTTTAACTTCCTAATGTTTCCTATGACTTCATGTTTTGAAGCTTTTTATCAAAAATAGTAAGTTTGTAGAACAGATCTGCAGTTTAGGATCCATAGAATTTGGCATCAGTGGAAGAAACATAGATACTGCAATTTTCTTTGGATACCTCATGCCCTCCACACCAATTGATATGTTTTT